TGCTCGTTTAATTGTCACACCCTTGTTTCTGCAATAGCAGGTAGTGGAACTAATTCATAACAAACAAACAACAGCGTTCACGTAACTAATTGCTGCTGCTGACTTCAAAAGCAGGGCACTGACGCACACAGGTCCCCCAGAAATAGAAATGTAATAAATGGCTTCTGGCTTATTACACTTTCTGGGAAAATCAGAGCTCCTTTATGACCCAAGTGAGGATGATTTTACCGCAAGCGACAGCCTACTTGAGATATGTTCACGATCCTTGCTAGCATGAAAGTCAAGCCAATTCGGAGCAAGCCACTTAACTCGGCTTCATTTCTAGAAAGCAAATCAACCACGGATGGCAAAATTAAAAGAGCATTGTAAAGGAGGATAATGCATTTTGAAATGTGACAAAATCTGAAGGATTCGCAGAACATGTCTCTCACGTTGGCCAATCAACTTAGAAAAGTTAGCGAACATTGACAGATTTGGGACGCTATTTCCCTGAAATATCGCAAAAAAGCGTTATTACCTGGTTGCTTTCAGTGTTGCAGCTGTTTTCCAGCAAACCCTTCTTTTTCGAATGCCGAACTTCCTCCTACAACCTAGGAAATTCAAGCAAACAGATCGTTAATTGTATGAATGGTTGTTGCTTCAAATTTAACTTGTGCACTCACTGCCATAAATTACTGTCAGTTTTGCACAGAGGACCTATACAACCCGCGCACTGCTGGTTAGCATACAGTCCCGGAATCAGCATGTCATTATTCGTCATTTGACTATTTTTTATCGATTTATAATTGAAATTCTTGAAAAAGCATTAATGCGTCTCCTAATTGCCTCGTTTTTGCAACTGGTAGTCGCACCAGTTGTTTTGGCCAATGCTAAGTAGCCCAGCGTTGGCGGTTTTGACATCAGTTTTGTCTCCGAAGGAAACATTAGTTCAACGTATCTCCTAACACAAGCAGCTGGTATCGAAATCTCATCAATATGTGTTGAGCATTCGGTATAAAAAGAAGTACATTAATGGCAGTAATAAAACAATAAAAGATGTAGTAGAGATGCAAGTAGAGATGCAAAGATTGTATTGGCAGTGCAATCCACTGAAGATTAAGTGCAAGTACAATACTTGTAGTGGGCATGTGCCTGGATTTTCACCCGGTTTCTGAAACATCCTGTGATGTTTAAGCCGGTATAGTAAACCGGTAAGTCAAACACCCTGTGATGTGCAGACCGGCAAAAATGCGGAACAAAAGATGGTGTGCAAAACCTCTGATATTTTTTGGATGTGCTGTTTGAAGCACAGTGAAGTCAGACTGAGTAAATAAATCCACCATTTCGGTTGTGACAGGCCGCATGTTTTTACGCCAAACTTGAAGCATTCCAGCCGTTTACTATACGAATGGCTGTCACTTTCATTTAATTTTTGCATCGGCCACTGTAAAACTTGCATGAAGGAGTTTCCGCTGACTGGTCGTTCACTAGAAATGACTGGCTGTGCTGGATCTTGAATTTACAATTTTTTCGCAAAGTGTGAAAGTTGGTACC